GAATACTGAATATACCATAGACTGCTAGAAGAATGAGTAAATCTGTCTTGGAAGAAGTACAGCCAGAGTGCTCTTTAGAAATAAGGTTAGACTTCGTCTCAATGTACTTTGGACATGTTATCAGGAGGGACAAGTCCCTGGAGAAGGATATTATGCTTGGTAAAGTAGAGGGTCAGTGAAAAAGAGGAAGGCCCTATATGAAATGGACTGACACAGTGGCTACAACAATAGGCTCATACATAGCAACGACCATGAGGATGGTGCAGGACTGGGCAGCACTTTGTTCTGTTGTATATATGGTTGTTGTAATTGGACTGACTTGACAACACCTCACAACAACTTGCTCTGGTAGGAAGAATCTGAATTTCTTTACTTCTGGATGTTTAAGGTTGTAATTTTAGCTTGTGTACATTGTACAAAGAGGACTAGGAAAGGTACACATATGCCTTTTTAACCATCTGAATAACCTCTTATTCAAACGAATTATCAATCTGCTCTTAACAACACAATATATTAGTGCACATAAAGGAATAGCCTGTTTTACTTTCATATCTGGTGAGTGAAAAGACTAAATTCTTTAAAATGCTACTACACCAACTCCGAACTTATTGACATGGTTAGGGTCCAAAGACCAGGTTGTTATGTGAAAACTGGCATTAGGTAAAACTGGATGATGACCACAACAAATCACAAAATGGAGGATGACTACATCATTACATAACTGCCAAATTACATTGTTACACAACTGCCAAACCACTAATAATCACGGCCCAGCCAAGCTGACACATAACCCTAACCATCACAATCACTATTCTCTTACCTCACACCTTGATGTTTGTTACTGCCAGATATATGCCATTAATGTGCAAAACTGACAGGTTTATTTTACTGTTGTCATAAATGTGAAATAGAGATGGAAGAGAGTGAATAAGAAGTAGGTGTGTGCCAATGTATCTAAATTCCATTAGGTTTTAAAGTCACTGATGGTGAGTATCATTGCCACTGAGTAAATTCTGACTCATAGAAACTTTGTAGGACAGAGTAAAACTGCCCCATAGGGATTCCAAAGGAGCCCTGATGGTATAAGTCTTTGGTTACTAACCATGCTGTTAATGGAAAGAGACTGTCACATCTTTCTCCAGCCTAGTGACTGGTGGGTTCAAACCACTGACTTTTCCATTGACAGCTGAGTGCTTAACCACTGTACCACTAGGGCTCCTTGATAGGTAGTAGGAGAAGCCAAATAGTTTAGTAGTGATCAACCTGAGCAAGATATTTAATTTCTTTTGTTCCTCAGTTGCCTGTATTTCTGAGACAGGGATACAAACAAGGTGCATTTGCCCTAGTTTCTGGCACATGGTAAGACCTAACATTATCTCCTTCTCAAATTAGCATCTTTGAGTTTTTATAGCTGACTTTGATAATATCTACTCTTTCTTCTTAGCCATACTTTCTTTGTTGTTGCTTGGGGCCAACGAGTCAATTCTGACTCATAGTGACCCCATGTGACAGTAAATCTGCCCTATAGGGTTTCCTAGGCCATAATCTTTATGGAAGCAGATTGCCAGATCTTTCTCCCACAAAACCTTCTGGATGGCTTCAAATCACCAACCTTTTGGCTAGCTCAACCACTGTGCCACCAGCACTCCAGAATTCTTGTATTTACAGCTGTCCAGATGGAACTTTTTGAACACTATTAATGATGCTATTTAACTATTAATGACAAATATATGCCAGTGAAACCTGGACAGAAACAGAAATAATGCAAGATACGAGAAAACTGGAGATATGGCATGAAACTTTTTATAAAGTCTAACTACAATATTGGGGTCATATAAAATAGTTAATATTGAAACTAGTAAGGGTCAATATGTGTTAATTATCACTGGTGACTGGAATGCAAAAGTTGGAAACAAAGAAGAATCACCGGTAGTTGGAAAATTTGGCCTTGGTGACAGAAATAATG